CAAGCAGGCTCGTTTCCAAGCTTTCGAGAGAAACAGCCCTGAAAAAATCGAAGAGCGCTATCAGTGGGTGAAGAGATGGATGAAAACAGATATGGACTTCACTAGCAACTGTGTGTTCATTGACGAAGCTGCTTTCCATATCAACCTTAAGAGAAATTTCTCTTGGTCCAAAGAAGGCGAGCGTGAGATCGTGAAAGTGCCCAAAACAAGAGCAAAAACTACTACCATTTTGGGTGCCATCTCGCCTTTTGGTGTTGTTAACATTAGTGCAAGAAGACCAAGAACATTACCCTCATCAAAGAAAAGAAAAGCAGCAGGAGGTTCGAATGCAAAAGTGGCCAGTAACAGTGGACATTACTTCAATTTCATCAGTAGTGTTTTGGATGTTATGGATCGTCATGAGGAATTCCGTGGCCATTATTTGATCATGGACAATGCTCCTATTCATAAGCATCAAGATATTCAGAATCTCATTGAGAGCCGAGGCTATAAGTGCATGTACCTCCCCCCCTTACTCGCCTGAGCTTAACCCATTGAGCAATTCTGGTCGGTTTGCAAAAGCAAACTCAAGAGGGAACAGCTTTTAGAAAAGGAGATATTGACTTCGAGAATTGCAGATGCTTGCAATAGAATTTTGTACAGTGATCTTAAAGGCTTCTGTAGATACTCTGCTGCCAAATTTGAAGACTGCCTTCAACGCAGACCTATTTAATAAACTCACGCATTTTGCGGATACACAAGCATGCTAATTTTTTCTGTGCGATTTAAAAGTACGCACATCTTTTTTTCAGAAATGCGCGAATAATTTTTCCGTTTGGTGTAACTGAAGACTGGTCTTGAGTATAAAATAGTATAAATACTGTGAGGCAGAGAATACGAATGAATTTCATCTCATTTTTTTAAAGGCTTTCATCTCATTTTTATTCTCTGCATCACAGGTAAATAGTATATTATGATTATTATATAAATAAAGGATCTCATTCTTATTCTCTGAATCACAGCTGAGTTTAATGTAGGCTTCGATAAGCCACAGACGTTTGACTTAAGTGTGACCGTATTCAAACGCCTTTTTTTTTTCATCAGGATGTGTAGCCAAGTTTTACATTTTTGATATTCATTCTAAAACCATAGTGTGTCTTTTTTCTTTGTCAAAGTGTAGCAACTTGTCTGTATCCCCCAAGCTTCAGCCTTTTGGTTGGAGGATTGGACCAGGATGTGTAGCCAAGTGTTACATTTTTGATATTCATTCTAAAACCATAGTGTGCCTTTTTTCTTGTCGAAAAAAGGCAGCAACTTGTCTGTATCCCCCAAGTTTCAGCCGTTTGGTTGGAGAAGTTCTTACAATCAATTACTTAAATCAGTTTTCTTCTGTAGAAGCCGTCCTTTCTAGAAATCATCTAAAAGTTACTCTAGCAAACGCATCTAACACTAACAAAAGAAAGAGGGTATGTGAAGTTTATGGCTTTCTTGTTCTGCTCGGACAAGAAATTATTTCAACTTGAAAAACTAGCTTAGCAAGTTACTTATTTCGTGATCAAATGGCAATATCCGAGAAAGAAAGATCTATAAGTATCTCAATTTACATTGGCCAATAAACAAGTGTAGGAACTACAAGGAAAGAATGTGACATGCGAAAAAGAAAATAAATGAAATATAAACCAAGCACTCGTAGAGAGGCTTCCAGCGCCTATCGCTGTCTTTAAATCAATACCTGCATTGTGTTGTATTGTATTGGAAACGAAGAACTTTTTATGCGTTTGTACTATTGCTATTTTTGAAACACAGAGATATTCAGTAAAACAAATGGTGCGCTGTTCCTTTGCTTTGTATGGTGTTGATTAGAAGTCCGTTACAAAATGAGTGATTATTTTTTCTTTAGGAATAAAGCAAATAAGATAAATATACAAATTTTTTATTAGACACGCTTTGGTGAAAGCATAATGTGAGGCATGTCATCATATGTCTTTCTCTTGGTTGTTTTCTCACTAGATTCCAAGAAAATTGCATTATTTAAGGAATGCAAGGACGCCTATAGTGATTGCTTAGTTTACATTTCAAATGCGACAATATATTTAAGCAGACTCACCTTGATTTCGAAGATGGAGAGAAGGAATCTCTCCAATTTTGTTTGAATTAGTCTTTGATCATATGGTATGACCAAAGTAGCTACCTTTTTTGCCACATAAAAGCCTTCTTTTTCATACAATTGGCAAACTGTGCCCGACCAGCCTATAATGCAAATATGTTAGTAACAACAACAAAGTACAGTCTTCATCATGTATTACCAGACCAAGTAATAGACATAATGTCTTTTTTCAAATCGAAGGCAGACTTCAGTGATTTCTGAAGACATTGCGTTAATCTCAATGTCTTTGATTCTTGATATTGCAGAGACTTCTGGCTTGCGTTTCTTGTCTTAAACTCCCAGAAAGAGAGCTCCTGGTCATCGTCACCAATAATCTTAAGATCAATTTTTCGTCCAGTGTAGCCTTTTTTTCTTGTAGAAGTATGAGCAAGACGAAATGAAGTCGATTTAGAGATAAAAACACTGTCCTTGGAATTTGAGAAGCTGCTCTCGTTGTATGTTATGGATGGTTTTGTTGCTGCTGCTACAGTTTCTCCAATTGCTATCTTTAGGTTTGTGCCACGAAATACGATTTGAAACAATTGTTTTACAAAAGCAACATGATCGGCTTCTTGGACATGATTGTTGTTGTTGTGTTTCATCAAAGTGTTAATATTGTCGATGATTTCATAGGCCTTTGCCTCCAAGGAGCATTCTTGTTCTTCTTCATAATCAACTCTTTTCAAAAGTATATACTTTCTTGCTGCTTTTAAGTCATTTTGAGCACGTTGGGCAAAATCTTGAGCAATTTCTTTGAGCTTGGCTTGTTCTTCTTCAGTAAGCTCGTTTTCTTTTTTCAGGTTTGACCACATGCCAAAATGATGTACAGGAATATGCTGCTTGAAATATTCAGCAAAATCTTCATCAACTAAATCTATGATTCTTGAAAGAGAAAGCTTCAAGATATTCTGTTCAATACAACTCAAGTCATTGTACTTCTTAAGAAGGCTAAGACTCAACTTGTCAAGCAATGTGGGAACTTCATCACCATTATAGGACTCAAGAGCTTCGATTGTTTCTTTCTTTTCCTCAAGGAAGGCGGGCAGATCTTCACTCTTCTTTTCTTCCAAGATATACATCCATTGAAAGAGAACAGATCTCAATTCGTTAGTGCTATATGTCTATAGACAAGCTTAGTAAGAAAGAAATTAGGGATTGGTGAAATGCATGGCTTACCTTGAGTCTTTTCCAAATGTTGATATCACAAACAATATGAGTTCCCACGTTAATATTTGGTCGATGTCTCTTTAACATAGAGGTAAAACGATCTCGCCATTTTACCATCAGCTGGCTTAGTGTACAGTCTTCGCTTTCAATTATATCAAGGTGTTTCTCAATAAACTCGTTAAGTGTAGGGTTATCGGCAGACTTCACGTACAATCGTAGTTCTATTTTTTTTTTTTTTTTTTTTTTTGATAAAATTAGGTTTCAAACTATATCACAACTGTCTTTACTCACCTTTTCCTCCAGTATACATTGTGAATAATAAAGTTAAATCAGTTATAAGTTGAGAATCAGAGAAATAGTTGGTTTAAAGTAATGAAATGAGAACAATAGTAGAAAAATAATAATAATAAAGGGAAAGGCTTAAAGAATTTTATTATTTCTACGCGTTATGTTACTCCAATGGCACTAAAAAGGCAGGCACAATTCATGCAAAGTTATATTGAGTGAGCATGTGCCAAACTAAGTAAATAGAATAAAACGAAAGGTATGCCATTGCTATGAGTGGAAAAAAAGGTAAAAGAAGGATTACAGTCTTGTGTGTACTTGCTTTTCATCTGCAAGCAGCTATGAAGAAGTACGTGTTTGTTGTAGGGTGGAGTAGGCATCAAAAGAGATGTTTCCGATGATAAATCTTCAGTGCGCTTTCCAGACTTGTAAGAGGGCGGTAATGACAATGTCAACAACGGCTAAGTTTTTCTTTTGTGGACAATCTATTCTGAAGAAGTTTAGTGTAACAAGTGCTTGAATAAACAGAAAAGCATCCCCTTTTGCTTATTTTCTTTCTCTTTTGCTATGTGCTTATCCTCTGTGTTTCTATTGAGTAATTCATTATTCTTTGCCCTTGAAGATAAGGGAAGTTTACTTATCATATAAATCAATGCGGAATGTATTTTGTAATAGAGGACTTTGAATTGTAATCATTCCCAGTTTCCTTTTTTTCTTTCCATGAGAAGATCATCCTGAAACAATAACAAACTTTCTTATTCATATGAAAATGTCAATAACCAAAAGAGCAAAGAAGAGTTTAGCTGTTCAAAAAAGAAAGAAAGCTATTTTACACACAAACTGAAAGTACTGATTACTGGTGCCTAAAGATGAACTAACTATTGTCTTTTTTTTTTTCCTTTTTTTTTTTTACCTTGAGCACAAAAAGTATTTCCGTTGATCCGTGCACTATGCATACGTTTACCACATTTTAGATCCATGGGACAGTTGCTTACTTTTCCCTGAAAATAGACCCTGAAAAATTCATCGCTTTTTTTTTTTTTGCTCACTATAAAACTCATACTGATTGCTTTTTTCTCTTTCTAAGTGAATAGACTATAAACTAGTTCTATAAGCTATTTTTAGCTATCAGTTTAGTGATGAAGAAAAGATGACATGATGTAAACATATGTTTTATTTCGGTGACACAAACAAGTACAAAGCAGACACTACACTTCCTTCGAGTCTAAACGATACAAGTAAAAAAGAGTAATTGTCCTTGATACATGTATATATATACCACGATACATTGCAAAAAGCATATAAAAGCATATAAAAGGATACAATATCTATGATTCTATATAAGCGGGAAGACTAAACTATTAGTAAAAAGTGTTTTCTAAAAAGGAAATAATATTCTTTTCTCTCTTTCAAAAAGAAAAAACACTTACATCACATTTCAACAGTATTTACCTTTTCTTTTTTTTGGAGACCAAAGTGCCATGAGAACGAGTAAGGTTATATAGAAATCTACAAGTTGAAACTTTTTAACAATGCCTTTTTTTTTATAGTACCAGAAGAGTTAATACAATACAGGTTACCACGCGGTTACATACCAGATACAGATCAAATTAGCAGAATCGTAGCCCAGGATCAGTTTATTATTGATCTGATCACCACTTCGCTTCTGAGAGTTCCTTTAGGCACTTATAAGGCTGGCGACAATATGTTTATCGATGGCACAGAGTGTGAAACTCTTTATATACCTCATTCATCAGATCTTGTAGACTAACCTCCTGTAGTAGCAGAAATACAACACACAGTGACACGCGAGTTTATGTGTCGAGCCATCCAGTACTGCCTGAATGTGTATAAGCGTTTCCACATTTTATCAATTTTATTCCTCGTCTGTACCTCGAAAACAAAGCCCAAAACTCTGAGAGACCTCTTCAAACCTGTCCAAAACAAGTCTAACCTCTTAGAAACA